ATATAGGCAATGAAGAGCTGAAAAGTCAAGCAAGGGCAGTGAGTTAAGCCAGAGTTTACAAACATCAAGAAGGCTTTACTACCCTTAGCTTGGAGGGAGGATGGGAGGATGCACAGTTTCTAAATCTCAGGGACCTACCTCACCTCACTGGGAAGACCTGGTATCAGGCAAGGGCATTCTGGCAAGAGGTGAAGCCATCCAAGAGACACACAGAGCCCAAAGAGATGCCATCAGAGGAGAGAGAGGAGAAAGAGAAAGAGCCTGGCTTCTCCCTTTCTCTTACCCTCCAGGACCTTTCCTTTGCCTGTTATTAGCCGAATCTGTTTCAAATCCATCTGACTGATGAGCATGAAACATGCAGGGATAGTCCTCTCTGTGATTCACAGCAGAACAACAGACGCTCAAGGAATCAATCGTGTAGCAAATAGGGACTAAGGCTTAAGTAACTTGCCCAAGATCACAGAACTAGAAGTCCCTGAGTTGTTCTTCAGGGATCATGTGCCCTGAACACGGGAAATTGACATTGGAAATTGACATTAGTCACATTCTGACACGTGGTTTTCTCTGCCCATATATATCACAGGATAATTTTAGGGAAATGTGTGCCTACCACTATGGAGGGAGAGACTTTGTCTTTTGAGTATAGGTGAATGGACAAAAAAGTGATGAGAAAAGGTCTGGGGCCTCCAGGCCATTTTCAGTGTGCAAGTGTAACTTCCGGCCTGTTCAAGGTAAGTGAAAGCAAATGATGCAGAAAAGAAATACAGACTTTTGCACAGGCTCTCAGTTGATAAATTGTAGCTGTTTCTCCACATAGTCCTTACTTTCTAAGTAGACTTTGCAAAGCACATTAGACTAGATTGCTTTTCAATGCACAGAACTCTTTTCCCCCAAAACGATTCAAATTGGAAGTGCCAATACTGGCAGAAAATGTGTGCAGGTACTATCCTTTAACATGCTAATGCATCTGTCACCAATCTACGAAGTTACAGACTGGGGCCTGAAAAAATATATTTGACGGCACAAAAGTATGAAGCATAGGATTAAGTAAAACAGATTGAATATGACTGTTACGGGCTGAATTTTGTCTCTCTAAAATTCATATTTTGAAATCCTACCCCCTAGCACTTCAGAATGTAACTACATTTGAAGACAAAGTCTTTAAAGTGGTTATTAAGTCAAAATGATACCATCTGGGTGGGGCTGAAATCAAGTATGATTTATGTCCTCAACTGAAGATGAAGAGATACCGTGGGCACACATGGACCATGGGAAGAGGCAATGAGAGGGTGGCCACCTGCAAGGCAAATAGAGAGGCTGCAGGAGAAATCAACCCTGCTGGCACCTTAATCTTGAACTCCCAGTTTCCAGAGCTGTGAAAAAATACGTTTCTGTATTTTAAGAAACCGAATCTGTGGTTATTTTGTTATGGCAGCACAGACAACTCATACAATACCAAAGAGGCGACATCTAGAAACCCTTAGAATGTGAGGCACTATTGAGGGCTGGGGAAACTAATAATGACACACTTTGTCATATAGAAAAATATGGCTGGGCTGCCAGGACCACAAAGCTATCCACTTGGAATGAGAAGTTAGAGTTAGATGTGCACCGTAAAAGCACAAGTACATTTGTTTTCTCTCCTTCATGGCTGCCCACTTAATTCAATAAGCATTTTATTGTGCATGTATTAGGCAGACAGTATTCTTGCAGGTTGTAATCTATGAACACCAGATGGCTGAATAGTACCATTATGACATCATAGAAACCTCCTCCTTAAATGATTGCTTATTTATTTATTTATTTTTGCTTTTTTTAGACGGAGCCTTGCTCTGCCACCCAGGCTAGAGTGTAATGGCCCATCTCACCTCACTGCAACCTCTGACTCCTGGTTTCAAGCAATTATCCCTGCCTCAGGCTCTGAGAGCTGGGATTACAGGCACCTGCCACCACATCTGGCTAATTTTTGTATTTTTTAGTAGAGACGTGGTTTTGCCATGTTGGCCAGGCTGGTCTTGAACCCCTGACCTCAGGTGATCCTCCCGCCTTGGCCTCCCAAAGTGCTGGGATTACAGACATGAGCCACCATGCCCAGCCTGCTTATTGTTTTCTTATTGGTAGAAATAAAATTATCCCAGAATGCCAACACTCCTAAAGGAGGAAAATAATTCAGATCCTCATTGTAGTAGATTTAAAACCACTCTTTTGTAATGGAAATTATCTAAATCTGCTGCAGGGATTCAACAATTCTTTGTTGACATGACTGTAATCCCAGGTAGCTACTTCAGAGGCTGAGGCAGGAGGATCCCTTGAGCCCAGGAGCTCAACACCAGCTAGGGGGGAACAAAGAAAAGTCCTACAAATGTGTTTCAGCAACATGGTAAACTTTTGGTATCCAGAAATGGATTTTTAAACCCTTTCTAAAGAAACCGAAGGCAGAAGAATACCAATTTTCTTGGTTGACATATAAAATACAATACTGAGTATTGCTAGAAATAACATTTGACCCAAAACAGAAAAATAGTCTTGGGGTTTGTCTCAGTCTATTTTATGCTGCTACAACATAATATCTATAAATGGATAATTGATAATGATCAGAAATTTGTTGGCTCACAGTTCTGGAAGCAGGGAAGGTCAACAAGGAGGGGCAGGCAATTGGTGAAGGCCTTCTTGCTGTATCATTGCATGGTGGAAGAGCTAAGAGAAGAGGGGAGAGAGAGAGGGAAGGAAAGGAAAAGAGAAAGAGGCAAGAGGGAGCCAAACTAGTCCTTTTATAAGCAGACTGCACATTTGTGATGGCACCATTAATTAATTCATGAGGGCAGAGCTCTCATAGCCTAACCACCTCTTATTAGGCCCCACCTCCCCACACTGTTGCATTGGGGATTAAGCGTCCATCACACAGTTTTTGGGGGTATACATTCAAACCACAGCATTGTTACACACAAAATATTTCATATTATATGAAATATGTCACTTAACATTTTTACCTGAATGTCAACAACATACAGTAATGCAGCAGTTTAGAAGTTATTAAATAATACTTTGAGGATATATAATTCCAACAAACATGCATATTAAAGCTGACTCATACAACATAACTGTCATGGGGCAAATTTTAAAAATGAGTTAGGAAATCCCAGTGATGGGTTTTCTGTGCCAATTTATCTCAAATTCTCAAATTTCTCTAATTATTCATTCCAATTGTAAGCCTTCTAAAAAGGAATGCCTATGAGAAAACTTGAAATTTTCTCCTCAATGTTCTTCAATACAACAGTTAAAAATATTTAAAGAAATGCTGAGTAGGTAGGAAACCATCAGAAGTAAGCTGAAAATGAATGGTCTCAGTGGGCAAATAGTCCTACCTTATAAAAGCTCTATTTGATGATTATCTACTGTAAGATCTTTTTTTTTTTTTTGTATGGAACTAAAACATTTAACTCAGAGAAACATTGTATTGCCAAATTCTTGAAATTAAACTTTAGTATCTGGCAATATTTTTCCCCCCATGGTACTAGATTACTAGATTTTCATGTTAAATTTAATTTTCTTAAATTCAAATGTATGAGCCTGATTTCTAAAAAAAAAAAAAAAACCAAAACCCTAATATAGAGAAACATGAAGTTAGTATATAAAAAAGAGAAGAAGAAACTTGGTCTATAAAGGAAGAAAAATGGGTTCTAATAAGCTCTCTTTAAGAGGTCACCCTCCTTGGGTTTCAGAGTTATAAAAAAATTGATACATGGGCTTAGAGATGTGACAGTATTCCTAAATTTCTGTTTCCAACCGTTTCAGGACTTTTCAATTCCTCTGGAAAAGATGTAGGATATTAATATAATAAGATTTGCAATTTGTTAAATATCAAATGAGTCAACACATATGAAGATTCAAGGAAAAGATGACAACAGGTGGTTCAAGACATTCGAGCTGCAGATCAAAGATGGATGTAAAGTGCACATAACTGTTACAAAGCCTTAAGAGCTACTATAATCCGTGATTATTAAATAACACCACATACTATTTCAATTAGCATTTACCAAGCTTGCTTTCCTTGTCATTGGATTAAAAATTATACCAGGATTTTCAAGTGTATTCTATTTGTGACAATATGCATTGATAACTTCTTTCCCCACACTGCTGCACTCTCACCTCCGTTCCCAGATTAGCTCCTGGAACTCGAGATATTTTTGTGGCTACAGATTGCTTTCTTAATGTTAGGTTTTCCTTGCAATTCCATATATAGTCAAGTATTCCATGCATGGTAGTTAATTGTTTGCTTAATTTGGCAACTGGGATATTAGAATTATGTATCATCTAGGCAGTGATATTTTTGTAAGGTTGTTTGCTACATATATCCTATTTCATTTATATTAAGTCTTGGGAAAATAAACTTTATTTTTCCAGAGCCTAGCAGTGACTGACACATATTCGAATGAATGAAGTAGATGGAAAATGTCTATATTCATTTACGTAATGATTAGTTAAGGAGAAACGTACTTCCCAGCATAAAGATTTCTGGCAATCCTTTGCTTATTTGACTTTTCCCTTCAGGCAAGTTCAAGGCTTGTGAAATTCCTAGAAAGGTGAGGGGAGAGAACGCGTGACACAGAAAGAGGCCGCAGTTCGGGACCCTAGGTAGTTTTGGGACGTTATGGGCATGCAGGGAAGTGTTTGCTTTGGAGGCTTTGGGCAAGCTACGGATCCGACAAGCCCTGGGCGCAGGCAGGAACACTGCCCTCCGGCCTCCAGCCGCGCTTCGCAAAGCCCAGCGCCAGCGTCGCGCAACCTGCCGCAGGGGCGGCTCCCTGGCCGGGCACCCGGTTGCGCCCTCGCCCCACCCGGGAACGCCGGCCCGCGCCGGGAGGGGCGGGGCTCCATGGCGGCCCCGCCCCGCCCCGCCGCCCGGAGGGTCACAATGTAGGGTTAGGGCGGCCGGCGGGCGGGGCTCTGCGGGGGAGGAGCCGCTGGGCGGGGGCGGGGACGGCGCGTGGGGGAGGGGAGGGGAGGGGAGGGAGGAGGACTCACAGAGGGAGGAGGACAGCGCCATTCCGGGCGGCCGCTCCCTCCGTCCCCTCTCTCCCTTCCCTAAAGCGGCCCGCGAGCCGCGAGCCGCGAGCCGCCAGCTAAGGAGCGCGCGAACGCGTGACGCCGCCTGACTGGCCCGCGCTCTCCCGCGCCCCGGCGTCCTCCGCCCGCTCATGGCCCGGGCCGCCGCGGACGAGCGGCGCTGAGGCGGGCCGCGTGGAGACGTGGGGCGGCCGCCGTGGCCCTCGCAGTCGGCGCTTCGCCGCCTGCCCGCGGTGCCCGCGCACGCCGGCCGCCATCGCCTTCGCGCCTGGCTGGCGGGGGCGCTGTCCTCCCCGGCCGTCCGCGCCGCTCCCTGGAGCTCGGCGGAGCGCGGCAGCCAGGGCCGGCGGAGGCGCGAGGAGCCGGGCGCCGCCGCCGCCGCCGCGGGGGCCATGACCGTGGAGCAGAACGTGCTGCAGCAGAGCGCGGCGCAGAAGGTGAGGCGAGCCCGCGAGCCGGCGGGCCCCACTCCTCCTTCCGACGGGCTGTCCTCCCCCGCCGCGGCCGGGCGCCCCGGCCTCGCCGCCGCCGCCGTCCCCGGCTTCCTCCACCGTCACCCCCCGCCCCTGCCCATCGCCTCGGGGGCGTCGCGCCCAGTGCCCAGCTGCGTGTGGGAAGCAGAGTGTAGTTTGCGGGCTTCAGTCCACTTCCTTCTGCCGATTGTTTTCCCGTAGCAGACGGTGCCAGGTATTGAGAGCGACCCTCACATTCCTACAGTGCTCTGTGTGGCTTCTTAATGAAACTTTATTCTCTCCCCTTAAATAAGAAAGAAGAGCCAGTTGTCATCCTTTCTGAACCCATTTTGTCTTTCGAAGGTAGTAGGGTTACAGGCCTGCTGTTTTGCAAAAACGGTCTCCAGCAAAATCGAATTACCTGCCTTGCGGGGCAGGCGTGTTGACCAGGTGGACTCTAGAAGTAGGTGATTTGCTTGGTTTCTTTTCCTTTTAAGGTTTCCCTTTTTTCTTCAGTTCTTCTTTTCTGCTTTTTTTTTTTTTTTTTTTTTTTCCAATATGGTAACTGTCTCTAAGAGAGGAAACCTTTCTGGCCATGTTATTCCAGGAATCTTTTGTCCCCTAAGTTTGACCTTGTTCCTTCGTTCACTCTTTACTCTTGCATCAGTCACACATTCAAATGGTCACTCACTAAAGAAAACCATTTTAAAAAAAACTGTGAACCTTTGTATCTTTAAAGTGAATAGTGAGAGATCATTCTGCTATTTTAGACTTTGCTTTCAGAATCTTAAGTGCACTATCATGGCTTGCACCATATTCTGAAGAGTAGTTGGCCATAATTTAATTTTTTTTTTAAATTTTTCATTTGCGTGAAAAGCATTTTGGGCAAAAGGGGTCAACCGTGCCTTAGTCGTGTTGGAATTACGGGGACAATTAGGGTTTACTGTGATCAACCACCGGAGTTGTGTTTGGTTAATCTGGGTGAGTAATGAATGCCCCACCCTGGTGTAGTTTTGGTGTAGCGATATTCTACCTGTGCTTGACTTTGCAATAAGACCTGTTCTAAAATGGGCTGTCTACATACAGCCTGCTAAATTTTTGCCTTGAGATTATTTTTAGAATTTTATGATACTGCTTTAAAGTAGTCGAAGATACTCAAGAAGTTTGGAAAGCAAGGATAGTGCATTGTTATTTTAGGCACGTTGGGAAAGTTTTTGAGACTCGTATGTTAGTTGATATTACTGGTAAAGTTAGAAGGATATTGCACACTGCACTTTATTTACGGTGAAATAATTCAAGACTTAATAATGAGAGTTTAAAAGAGTTTACTTCCTAATCCTCCCTATTCTATTTTGAATACCTTCAAATTTAGTTTCTAAAGACTTAAGGCTTACGAAAGACCATATGGTCATGTGAATACTAAGCACTGTTTAATATGTATGGTACTATTTGTTTATAATTGTCTTCAATGTTGAATATTAAAGTCTGTTTCAAAGTGAGAAATACGAATTTTTCACATCTCCTAAGTTTGAACAATGGGAAGAACTTTGTAAGTTTGGGATTTTTTTTTTTTTTTTCATTTGATTTTGACTGAACTGCATTAAGTAACTGCAGGCTCTGTTGCATGGTTCAGAGGTTATGCATAAAATTGTAGAATCAAGAATCAAGTTAACGAAAGTGATCTTGGCTGTCAAGTCCAATTTCCTACTTTAATTAATCCCCTCCCCACACAAAGGGAGGAGTAGTTAATTCAAAATATCATTATGATGTTATTTTTAGTATGGGTGTGTTTTAGATCATTTCATTGTTATTGGGGATTTTTTTTTAGAGAAACTTTTATACTTCCATAATACTTAGATTGTTTTACGAAAGAAACACTTAAATGTGTTTGCTTTCCATATTAATACACGATTGCTTTATTACTCATATTAGAACTATTTAAAAATATTTATGTGGATATAAATAAACCATCTACCTCAATAAGTTGACAGATTTAAATCCATCAAGCTGGTAACCAGGAAGCGCACTTAAAACTGGTAACTAGGAAGTGAACTTCACACTTAGAAGAAACAAAAGTGAAAGTCTGTTTTTACTCAGACACTTTATGGATTATCTAAAAGGAGAGGTGTGTAGTGTATATTGCATAGCCAACATTTTAGCCAGTTTTCTTCTCACCTTAAAAAATTGTGTGTACGTATATGTTTTTAAATTTTAAGTAAATAGTTGTATTTTGGTAGTCGGAATGGTTTCTTATATTTTCAAGGGTTTTTAAACTTTTATTTTGCAGATGGATGTAAGTTTTTTTTTTTTTTTTGAGACGGAGTCTTGCTGTGTCGCCCAGGCTGGAGTGCAGTGGCCGGATCTCAGCTCATTGCAAGCTCCGCCTCCCGGGTTTTTACGCCATTCTCCTGCCTCAGCCTCCCGAGTAGCTGGGACTACAGGCGCCCACCACCTCGCCCGGCTAGTTTTTTGTATTTTTTAGTAGAGACGGGGTTTCACCGTGTTAGCCAGGATGGTCTCGAACTCCTGACGTCGTGATCCGCCCGTCTCGGCCTCCCAAAGTGCTGGGATTACAGGCTTGAGCCACCGCGCCCGGCTAGGATGTAAGTTTTTTTTTGTTGTTTGCAGCACCACACTACACAAAACTTTCATGGTTTTTTGGTTCACCTATAGAATTCATCAGTCTTTGTCACAATGTAGGATGATAAGGCAAGGGGCTGCCTTTCCCTTTTGATGTGTTCTTTGCTTGATTGCTGGAGTTTGGCCAACCCAGGGACTTACGAGATGTAGTAAAACTGCAGAAAGCTGCTTTTCTGAGGTTTAAATATTTCAGGTGAGGTGCAGTTGGCAGCAGATTAGTTAAATCCTGTGATAATTTTGGTTTTGGACATGTATCTTCAGCCTTTATGCTTCATATTTACCAAAGTGTAGGAGCCTTAGGTCTCAAAAATTTGATACATAGATTCAAGTTCCAAATGAGGATACTCCATGGCGGCCCCCCCCCCCCCCCGCCCCCCGCAATCTATCTAAGCAGGTGAACCAAGCTAGTATTCTTTAGGGCAGTTATTATTGGGAGGAGGTTTGCTCCCAGGGACCAAATTAATTTCCAAAGTGAAATGAACAGGATACTATTTATATTAAATGTATCCTTCTGAGTTGAATAAAATATATTGTTTCACTGTAGGGCTTAGAACAGTTCTTTACACATAGTAGGACTGAGCAAATATTTGATGAATGAAATAAGTGAATGGTTTCCAAAAGGAATGTAAGTACAGTACTTAGTTTCCTAACCGAATCTCGAAATTTAAAAATTATTAAGAAAGAATGAGGCTAGGCGTGGTGCCTCATGCTTGTAATCGCAGCACTTGGGGAGACTGAGGTGGGAGGATCACTTGAAGCCAGGAGTTCAAAACCAGCCTAGGCAACAAAATGACACCCCGTCTCTTAAAACAAAACCGTCAGGCCCGGTGGCTCCCGCCTATAATCCCAGCACTTTGGGAAGGTGAGGCGGGGGGGATCACGAGGTCAGGAGTTCGAGACCAGCCTGACCAACATGGTGAAACCCAGTTTCTACTGAAAATACAAAAATTAGCCAGGTGTGGTGGCACACGCCTGTAATCCCAGCTACTCAGGAGGCTGAGGCAGGAGAATCACTTGAACTCAGGAGGCAGAGGTTGCAGTGAGCCAAGATCATGCCACTGCACTCCAGCCTGGGCAATGGAGCAAGACTCCATCTCAAAAAAACAAAAAACCAAACCACAACAAAACAGAACAACGAAAGCTTGGAAAACTGTGTTCATGCTAGGAGAATAGGCAGTGGTAGTGAAAGAATGTGGGCTAGATCTCAACCACCTTTTTGTCACCTTGGGCAAGTCATTAAGTGCTTCTGAAGGTTCTTTTTAAACATTAGTATGATTAGATGTGAGCAACTTCTTTAGATTCGATTGTTTAATGGTCCTAAGCAAGCGTTCTGTATAGGGAGAATAAAAAAGAAATAGTATAGCATGGAGGCAGAGGAATCTAACAGATCTACAGTCAACTTTCACTGAATTCCTCAAAAGATGAGGGTTAGGTGGGAAGGTTGTCATAGATTAAGCAAGTTGAAGAGTTAAAACTTGGAAAACAATGCAGGCTGGATTCAGGGTAAATTTCTTAGTTAAAATAATGTGTATTTTCCAATTTAGGATTATCTAAGGTTATAAAACTATACCATGCAGCATTTGATGGTTAACATTACTTAAATCACTTTAAATGTTACATAAAGGGAATATTCTTTATTAGGAATCGGTTGATTATCTTATTATTAGTATAAGACTTGATTTGGGCAGAGAGATAGGTTTCCAGCTGTTTATTCCTTTTCTTATTCTTTCCTTTTCACACCTGATTTTAACACATATACTCACATTGTATCCAGCCTTTTAAACGAATTCACATCATTTCTAATAAATATTCTGTTGATTTTCTTCAATATTGTATGTATACAGTCCATATCCTTTACAAATACTTAATATTCTGATCTCTTTCTTGTCATTATTTTTACCACTTATTACTTTAAGTTTACAGAATGTTGCTACTATTTATGTTAGTTTCTATTATATAGTTTCCTTATAATACGGAAATTTTCATACATTCCTAAGTTTTATAAATGTTTCAAAACTGGATTTAGATGTGGACAATCATGTCTTTTTTTGCAGTGAATGATATTTTATATGTCAGTAATGTAAGAACCATTTGTACATAAGATATATGAATATTTACTATATAATCTGTGTAAGGCACTGTGCTGAGTCTTCTTACAAACTTTTTTCTTTTAATCTTCCCAACCACCTTATAAAGTGAGTACTATCTTTCTCCTTTCTATTGAAGCTGAAGAAACAGTATTGGAGAACTAAAGCAACATTTCATCTCGAGTATGTATTAAGGGTCGGATAAACTCAAAAGTCATGTGATACACAAGCCCCTGCTCTTAACCACAATGTTGTATT